TAAATAGTAAAGAAGAAACTGAAGAAAAAAAATATCAGAATTTTGAAATTTCCTATAATAATAATAATAATAATTAATTATATTAAAAACATATTTCACCAATAATAATCAGTACTTAAACAATAATAAAAGAAATGTTGTTATAAAATCGCGATTGACAAATGATTAGTTTGATGGGATTAAAATTCTCAAGGAATTAGGTAATTGAAGAAGAGAGATAATCGTCATTCGCCTGTACCGTTAAATCGTCCTTCGATTGCGATCAGCCTTGACCATCATTCCGCGTTCGACTCAGAGGCATTCAACTCTCTCTAAACTCAAACACCTTACGGAACCGAGTCGACTAAACGCGATTGACCTTTAACTTTAATTTTACCACGCGTGACATTTCATTTGGCGCGGCTCGAGAAGCACCACTCCCGTTCTTGTTTATATTTCAGACACCTTCTAAGCACATCTAAAAATCTGATCTACAATTCCAAATCGACTAAAGAGGAAAATCTAATAATTACCATTAAATACATTTGATGAATAAATTGATTGTTCAGTTCGAATTTGCAGTAGAAAAAGGAATCGAATAGCACTGTATTACGTGAACAGAAATGAGGACATTTACATATATCTACTTTTGTACTTTCTAGAATGAAATATGTATTAAAACATAAACTGAATGAAAATCACGTTTCAATCTCAAATTGTCTTATTACTAGGAGTAGAGGATTAAGATTTCATATTTATTTCGCGTACACGTTGAGAGTATCACTAGTTCACTTTCCTTTAAAAATTCTGCTGTACATTTTAAAAGTCGTGAATAGCATAAAATGAAATGAATGCTTAGACGTCTTATAACGTTTGCAGCCGAGGTGCGAACGTAATTACCGTCTGTTATTATTAAATCGAATTTCTGTTAGAAAAACTATGTAATTAAAATATTTTTACAGAATAAATTTATTATATCTTTACCAATACCAGAGACTTTGCAAAGCTAGAATAATTAGATTATTTTTGTAGTTCCTCTGAAATTAGTTAACAAGTAATAGAACCAAGGCAGATATGTAAATAAAATCTTTTTAGAGAATAAATTTATTAAATCTTCACTAGTACTACTTCAGGCTTTTTGGAAAACTCCAGTAATTAGATTGTTTTTGTAGCTCCTTCGAGTTTGTATAACAGTACGAAGGCGGATATTCACGAAAGATCGTCGCGCATGAATATTTATGAGTACGAACGTTCCACGTAATCACGACGCGTTGGTTAAATCGAATCTTCTCGGTATCATACCTCACATTATGCTCCGCCTTATCTACCTATCAACCATTCCGCCATATAATCTCATTTACTCCCGTCCTCGATCAAATGGTCTTTGCAAGGAAAAACGAATAAATTAACAAAATAAATTCTATACTTTTATCTGCTCTCAAGAAAAAAATACATGCAAATACTTGATTTCATATAGTATTTGCCTTATAACTGCACTTGCATACGAAGCGTTAGGAAAGAGAATTTGACAAGGGTTTTAACAGCAGAAAGGATAACATAGTGACTTCTATCAAACCTGATTGTTTCAAGAAATGAGGGAAACTTTATCGTATTTCATGTATTTATATTTGTAATAAATTTAGGACGGAAAGATGAGACGGAAGCCTAAATTATTAAAAAACCGACGGAAAAATGTATAAACGTCATATTATATATTATATATTTTATTAATAATGATACTTGATTGTTTTAGGAAATGAGAGCAATTTTATTTTATTTCATATATTTATTTCTGTATGTAATCAGTTTAGGACAGGAAAAATATGACATGGAAGCCTAAATTATTGAAAAACCGATGGAAAAATGTATAAACGTTATATTATATATTATATATATCAGTAATAAAGATACAATAAGGCATGTAACAAGATAACATCGTGAAAATGTATTATTGTCCGTTCACAGTTTTACAAAAGGCCACCCGTATTAATACTGCAGTTAGACGAACAGTTTTGTGCGTTTCGATAAGATTAAGTCTCAAAAATATAAATACAATAATATGTTTCGTTTCATTTTTATCAAAATACGTTAGAACGTGATTCGTTTAACCCAAACTGCAGATATATGATATTATAAGAAGAATCACTCTAAATCTAATGCGTGTGCGTGCGTCCAGCACTTACTTTGCCGGAGGTTTATTTTTACTCTAGGACAACGAATTGACAAAACCCCGAAGCGTTGCGTACCCCACCGTTGCAATGCTATCAGTGAGGAGTATCGTCAGAATCCGACGAGCCTGACACAACCGATGCTATTGCAAACATTAGAAAAAAATTGTTTATTCCTTTAAACCTACTCGATAACGAGGATATACTCAAGGCAATTCTATCGTCAATAATAGAATTAACAATCAGACTTCGATGAAATTTGGTATTCTGCTAGGTGAAGCTTGCAAAAAGGTACAATGAAATATTTAGAGGCCGAAGATATCGGGGAAAAGTTATTGATAGATTCCAAATTTGTATACTTTTATGCAAAAGCATACGAAAGATTGGAAGAAAAGTAAATCCTATGATATTTAATTAATAAATGAAAAGCATATCTGAATTTTATTTCTTAATTCTGTGTTCACATCCGCAGTCTAATTATTAAGGGGGTAGACTCACAGTCAGATAGGCGCGATAAGGTAGAATGACAATGTTACCCACTAAATTGACCAACTAGATTTACGCCATTCGATTCTACGTCTTTATTTTTCAAAGAATCAAGACAAAATTCGTGTTAATGTTTAGTTCATCGTACGCTAAATTTTGAGAAATTCATGAATTCATTTTTAAGAAGCAAAAATATTTTAAATACGTCATCAAGTTAAATGAATATTGAGAAAAGGGTAAAAATGTATTTTCACTCTTTATCGACCCAGTTCATTTATAAGGCTGTGGTTTATTTTACAAATATACCTTGAAACACTCCGGAGTCTATAAGAAAGCTACAGCCCAAACGTTGTGAATATTTCAGTTGCTTCTCATATTTTTGCTAACATATACCCAACGCTTTCTCTTTATATAATTGTAAGATTTCTAGCAATATTTACTTGTCAAGTGTTTCACTCTACATGAATAGTGTTAGTTCCTCATAAGACGCGATATAAAATATGTAACAATGGAATCTTTAACTTTTAAACCGCCGGAAAGCCGAGATATCATCTCAAGAATTAATGAATATCTTATAATGCAAAATCGTTGATATAATCGCATTACATATGATTTTTAACCCATTCACTGGCGGCTAAGTATGCTGCACATAGAACTCCCAAAGATAAGCTTGAACTATTTCCTATACTTCAAGAAAGTTATTTCATCAAAAAAGAAATTTTCAACTAATGTAAAAAATATTCTTTTAAAGTGCGCGCCATGTGGAAAATATCCATCTACATATATGTCTGAATGAGTTAAATACATTTGGGCGCAGCTCACTACTGGCAATCTAAATGTCAATAATTGTTTTCTTAGATACTCTCAGTCTTTAGCCTTTGCGGTCCGCGCTCCATTCGCAATTTCGTACCAGCCGGTCCGCACAGACTTCGCCAATCGCTTATCCGCTTGGTACCGTTCACTTTGGAAAACATTTACGACCTTACTAACGCAACGTACTTATGAATTGGTAGATATTATATAGAATAAAATCGACATAACGAAAAGCGATATCGAGCCACACTGGACATAGGACGTGCCAGAACGAAATACGATGTCGAGTCATACTAGACATAGGACCGCAAAGAGTTAACAATTTCATGAAGTCTTTTCAAAAGCTTCATCCAACAGTATACCAAATTCCATAAAAATCTGATTAACTCTATTATCAGTAGAACTCTCGTGAATACTTTCACATGCATCACTTACCGATAATGATGATCAGGATAATCACGCAGATGATGCCGATTATGATCATCATTTTAATATTCTTCCACCAGTATTTCCTTTTCAGTTTACCCGCTTGCTGCTCGAATTGAGTAGCGCCTTGCTGCAGGGTATCTGCGCGATTCTCTAACTCCGACAGCTTCTGATCTCTCTCCAATACTTTCTCCACGTTCACTTTCATTATACCGACGACCTCGTCGACGGTTGCTTGTGTCTCCTGCATTTTTTTCGTCGAAGCAACCTGTTGCGAGTTTCGCGGGCCGCCCATATCACTGGAATTACCGCTGCCCTCCATTTTCCTGTAACGAGAAAGAAAATATCATATCAGTATAGATTAGATTGGTGACAGTAAAATAAAGTTTAAATATCGAACTTTTCGGTAATATGTGACGTACGCGATCGAACACAATCCTACAGGCACGTCTGGACATTCTTGCTAGTTAAATAATGGGACATGAATGAAGTCGGAAATTCAACATGGCGACTACTATGGGCAGATCTCATGGCCAGATTCATGTTCTATGCATGCGCAAAAGCTTTCCATAAAAACCACCATGTTCAATTTGCGGTTCCATTCAGGTCCCGTTATCCGAGTGGTAGCGTGTCTACACCTGCCTTATAAGATTGCGAAGTACACGCCCATAACCTCTCGCTACACGAATTGTTTGCACCAACTGAAAGCTATACAATCTCAATTGTTCACGAGTTTACGACAGTATAACACTTAACAAACGTAATATCGATAGAAACTTATAATTGAATTATATATTAATACAAAAGAATGTACTCAGTTTTCAGTACTTATGTTTACAATTACACAGAGATTGACAGATTACTTTTGAGATTCTAATAGATATTTGCAGAAGGTAGTATTAACTTACTCTGAAGTGTTAGATTTGTAAAAATTTGCTCGAAGATATGATTTGTTTAAAAATTAATGACAGATATCCGTTTATTTCGATGACGAACACACTTTACAACAAGCACTGCATGATACCAAGTGAAGATGGCGGTCAATGGCGGTATACTTCTACTGACGTCATGCTTATTCGAGGAATCCTTCGACGAGTAGATTAATTTTTTCTCGAAAGGCTGATCTTTAATTAAACAATTAGCGTTATGAAGTGGATTTGTGAACTCCAGCACTTTATAAACTGCAGAATTTATTACGTGTACATATGTTATTCTTAGAGCCCGAATTAAACACGTAGCGCTATCTTTGAAAGAACTTAATGTATCATAAGTGAATTTGAATGATTGAACGTATTTTATGTACGAAAATTAAAGATTTTATTAAGATAATCCAATATGGGAGTTAGACTCCAATAGCAGCGCGATAATGCAGAATGTCAATGTTACTTACAAAATTAGACGAAAGTATGGGTTTTACGAGATTACACTTTTCGTCTTTATATATGCATCAGATTTTTAGGTCGTCAGGTACCTCTTTGGAAAGAGGAAAGGTAAATTTAACGTGTTTTGTTTATGAGCTAATTAGAATATACTAATAGTGATATGAGTGTTAGGAAATAGATGAAGCATCGTAGTTACAGTGTTTTGTTTTGTTTATAAGTAAATATCCAAAACAGACTGTTCTGAATGAAATAAAAACCAGAACACGCCAGATTTAACTTCAAACTTCTAACAAAAAATCTTATATAATGATTTATCAGATTTCATAAAAGAAAATTCTAATACCGTATAATACAATATTATGAAATAAATCAATTACCAGAACCATTACCTTCTATCATACATTATTAAAAGATAACTAAATTATTCTATCACTTGTAAATTGTTAAGATCCAGTGCTTTTCGCTTGAATAACATCAGGTAAAAATTGATGTATTGCATTTAAATTTATGTCGAAGAACAGAATTATGTTGAAAATTCCTGTTTACTAAATAGATCCGTTTGCATTATAAATTAATAGATGACATTAGTTTATGTTGATGTAGACACTTGAAAAATACGTTGTTGTTGAAGATATAACAGGCTTCAGGTTTTCACATGAATAGCCTTAAGTGTTTATTCAGTTAGTTAATGCTTTGCGATAGATCACAGAAGAAATATTATATTTACAACTTTATATTCCATCATTTCAAATATCTATATTGTGTCTGTTATTTTAATCACATTACATACAATTTTCTACGAAGCAGTAATATGGGCTATTCGAGACTATCCAAGTGAACAAACACTGCATTTAGTTAATATTCAGAATACAGAAGCTCACCAAATGTATCCATCGCGGATTTATCTTCACCGATTCCGGACGACATTTTCCACGGAGCAGAATTCACGACACCCTCGCTTCGCGACAAAAATTACAATAACGACATAAATAAAACATCCTGCGGATGCTCTTGCGCGTATTCACATCGCGTTCCCAGTACCGTACAAAGTAGCGCACAGAACGCTCTACTTTAATACAAAGACTCTCAATCTCATTACATTATGTAATAAACCCCTTAAAACAAGAAAAGAATTATCCAACGACCTCTTACAATTTTAATCAGACCCAAGTACAATCACAAAAAAGAATGATAGCAGACATCGTAATCGAGAAACGAGGAGATTTGCAGCACCGATTGTTGGCCTATTTTCTAAACGGTAGTCCAAGGGCGCTGCGAAGCCCTGGCGACAGACCTGTCTCGGTTTTCAGGGTGTGTTTGCGGCTGCCGTTTATTGACTGAAAACCAACTTTGCGAATGCGCAGAGTTCCCCGTGCAGAACCGTAGCTCGAACCGGCGTGCTCGATACATCGATCCTCAGGTTCTGATCGCCGACACAGAAATTCTAATTGCAATCTCGTTTTAAACGACACGGGCCCTCGGCAACGAGTTCAGCTCTCCGAACGATTCCGGCTCGCGTCAGGGGAAGGGAATTTCCGAAGGGGTTGAAGTCTGAAATAGGAGCGGCGCGAGATACGAGGGTGGTCGAGATAACTCAGCGGCGGCGCGGCGGTGCCCGTTGGAAATTTTATCAATACCGCCGTCGACTAGTCGGTGACAGTCGCTCGTGAAAAGTAGTCTGACGGGGTTGCCAGGCCACCGGATAATCTCTAGTTAAAGAAAATCAACGGGAACGACGAAACAACATGTGAGTAGAAGCCAGCGAGATCCATTAAAGTGTCTTTCCGTTAATTAGTGGGAGCCAGTCGAATTTCGATGGGTGAAATTGGTGATTGGGAACGATCCTACTTAGCGAATATGTAACACTTCCATAGTTGCGAACAGTGCATGATAAAAAGATTTGTTCTAGGTGAAACATAAATTCAGTAAAATGATTCTTTCCTAAAGAGGATTGTGGCAATTTTTATATGTAATGGAACAGTAATTACCAATAGATGAACGATTATGATGATACAGAAAAGAAATTCTGAAGTGCATTTGCGTACTTGTATGATATTGATCGAATTCGATGATCCAGGATGTAGTGACAAATTGTTAAGGCACGCGAGGCGAATTTTAAGACGCAATTTCCTAAGCCTTTGTCGCGAATCGATTCCGTTAGCACGGATGCCTTATTCGCGGCACAGGTCAGAATTTCCAATAAAGTGCAGCAGAGCTCGGGACGGGCAGGGGCGAGTTCTCGGGGTACCTAGTGGAATTGCGGTCATTGAATTCTCAGACCAGACCGTACGTTCTTCTCCGTAGCGATCGAACCATCCGAGCTGATAGAGAAACCACGATCAGTTCTATACCCTACGGTTTAGAAAAGTGGAACATTCCCTGTAAATTCTTCGTATACTCTATTCATTGTCAGAAAATTGCTACTCTGTATACTATACTCTATAGGGAAACTGGAGCAGTAACTTAGCATCTGATTTTAAAAACAGAGAATTGTGAGAATTTTAAGGGGAAAACTATTGAACAAATATTTAAGATATAATTTTAAGAAGAAACTCGTTTCCACCTTGTAACGTAGTTATCAACGTTACATACCAATTAGCAAGGGAAAGTTTGTTTTATTAATTGTAGATTACAATTTAATTAAAGATGGACTTGTACTGAGCATCAATCACGAAGCACGCAGCCGATCTGATAGAGAAACTTCGATCAGTTCTAGACTCTATAGTTTGGAAAAGTGGAAAATTCTCTTTATTATTCTCTGTTGATTGTCAGCAAATTGCTATTCTATTTTTTGTAGGAAAACTGGAACAGAAACTTAGTGTCTGATTTAAAGAGGGAATTATTGCCAGAATTTTAAGAGGAAATATAACAACAGATAATTAAAAAGAAATTCGAATTCTCTTTTAAGAAGCTTCAACATGTAATTCATTTCTCAACATTTATCCCCATGACAAGGAAGAATTCGTTTCGTTAGATAATAGTAGATTAGGAAAATTATGGAATTTAATTAAAGAGAAACTTCGATAAGTTTTATACTTTACAATTTAGAAAACTAGAACGTGTGAATTCTCTTTATTATTCCCTGTGTAACTCTGTATTATTTCCTTTCCTACCTTCTCTTTAGTATTCCCTTTTTCATTGTCAGAAAGAGAGAGAATTTTAAGAAGAGATTTATTAAACAAATATTTAAGAAGAAACTCGTGTTCTCTTTTAAGAAACTTCATCTTGTAACGTATTGCTCAACATTCATAACAAAGGTAATGGAAAGTTCGTTAAAAAACACGTTAATGATAAGGAAAAACTTCGGAAAAGAAAAATTAGTACATTAGGGAAATTATGGAATTTAATTAAAGACTAACAGGGCAATCAATCGTGAGATACGGACAGCCAAACTAATAGAGGAACCTCGATCCGTTCTATACTATACAGTTTAGCAAAGTGGAACATTCGTTGTAACTTCTCTCTATATTCTCTGTTTATTAAAAATGACATTCATTCAAAATTACTGTTCAATTGGCTGTAACAAAACTGGAATAGAGACTTAGTACTTGCTTTAAAAAAAAATTGTCGCGAGACTTTCAAGAGGGTATCTATTGGACAAACATTTAAGGATGTATTGGCTATACAGTCAATCCCAAAAGTTTATGCACTTTAGAAACGCATTTTTTAAAAAGAAATCAGACGTCGGAAGAACAATGCTAATAATAAATAGCTACGTGCTAAAAAGTATAGAAGGAAATATCCAATTAAGTNACTTAATTGGATATTTCCTTCTATACTTTTTAGCACGTAGCTATTTATTATTAGCATTGTTCTTCCGACGTCTGATTTCTTTTTAATTATAGGAAATACGTTTTTCTAAGGTACATAAACCTTTGGATTGACTGTATAGCCAATACATCCTTAAGAAGAAATTCGCATTCTTCATCTTGTAACATGTGTCTGAACGTTACATGCTAATGATAAGGGAAAGTTCGTTTGGTGTAAAAATGGTAGTTTAGGGAAATCATGGTATTTAATTAAAGACGGATACGTACTAAGAGCAATCAATCGTGAAGCACACAGCAGAGCTGTACGTTCACAGTTTCTATATTTAGATAATCAATGACGAGAACACATTTGCAGCAATGTTCTACGGGTTTCACGCGACAGATATGAAACCACCTGCAAGTAGATTGTCCCTTCGGTGGTCGGACTGTACGTAAAACGCCAACAGGTTTACCTGCAAATCGCGACTCCGCGATGGCGTAGTAAACGGATTATACTTATCTAATCCGACGTTCTAGTTTGCAGAAATTTTGTACTCGGCCCGTTCTTCGTTCTCTACCTAATCTTTACCGTGAAGGAATAGTCAGATCCATTTTATGTTTGCAGTACATTGAAAAATGATGTTAAAACATTTCAAGCGAATGTTTACGATTGCAACATATTAAAAATTGATATTAAAACATTTTCAAACAAATATGTATACAGGAAAAATAAAGTTACTCGGCATTAAACACTTTCTACTAAGAAAATTAGTGATTATACTTCAGGTATAAATTTATTTTATCTATCAAATTAATCTTTAATTGAAAATCGATCGTATTTTGATTAGAAGGACTCATTTCACGTGATGATTTTTTGGGAATATTCAGCTGTCTCTCGTTGACGTCACGTTGATCCTCGATAAACTAAAATTAGTATGCATCGATACGAATGTTTATAAAAAAAGACCGATAGAAAAAGAGTGTCCAATCGCGTGGGCTTGGAACTTTGTTACAAATACCAAAGGTCATCATTTATGAAATGAATGTACGGTCATGAAAAACGAGTGATTCATAGCAGTGGCCAATTTTTATGTTAAAAGTAATTCAATAAACTATGATAATCGGGCAAGTTGGCTCGATCGATATATTAATCTGATTATATAAGCCGCTTGAACGCGTAGGAGCTTTAAAACCAGGTGAACGCATCTTCTACTGAGCAAAAAATGTCGTTAGAAAAAGTTTTCATTCAAACCCTTTGTGAAATGAGTTACCGTCTTGATTAACTATTTCACAGACTTACGTTCTTAATTAGTTTATCAATGCATCATTCAAATGGTTATTGCATGTGCTCTTCGTAATAGAATGAAAATATCAATTATCATCATTATGGAGATAGCAATTATCTTGTATGTACTTCCTCAAATTGTTATAAGCCTTCAATAGTATCAGAATGAGACTGCGGTATGAATATAATTCAAAATAATTCTTATGATAACTAAGATTGCATCAAATAAATTACCCGCAATTTTTGTATGAATAGAGGTAATTAGAATCTGGCGGATCGACAGAAAATATAAAACTTAAATATCTGAAACGAATCAAAAGTATAATACACATCTCAAATTGTAACGTAGATATCAATTTCTACATTGACATCAATTTTATTCTGCATGAAACTTCTCAGTCGATTGCGACACTATCGTCAATTCTTGAAATGTTATAGGACTCCAATAATATTAGAATGGGATTGCAGTGTAAATATAATTGGAGATAACTTTTATGAAAACTAAACTTGCATGGGATTTTAGTATAAATATAATTCAAGATAATTTTTAAGAAAACTAATCTTGCATAAGATATTCAAGAAATAAACTGACCATAATTTTTAAATGAAGAGTTAATCAGAATTTGATGAATTTACAGAAATAAAAAATTTAAAAATGTGCAGAGGATGAAAAGTACAATACACACTTTAAATTGTAATTTTGGATTCCATTTTCTACATTTATAAGACTTTCGTTCTGTATAACACTCCATACGCTACTGATACATTATTATAAATACTTCGAATGTTTATAAGGCTTCAATAATATCAGAATAAGATTACAGTATAAATACAGTTGAAGATAATTCCTATGAGAACTAAAAGTGACAATGTCAATCAGAATTTGATGAATTTATAGACAATACAAAATATAGAAACGTGTAAGAATAAAAAGTACACTGCATATCTCAAATTTCAATCTAGATTTCATTTTCTACGTTGGCTTGTTAAATGAAGTGTGCTACTTAGAATTTGGAGCATTTATAGAAAATATAAAATGTAAAAATGTGCAAAAGTTCAAAATTACAATGCGTATCTAAATTTCTAAATAGTAATAGAAATTTTAATTCAAGTTCCATTTTCTTCATTGCCATCACTTTTGTTCTGTATAAAACTTCGCAGCCTGATATCGTCAATGACCGATCACTGTGTACACTTATTCGAGCACGTTCTATCATGAAATAGTCGGGCAGAAGGCACGTTTCGATGTTCGACTGGCGATCGATCGGTCGACCAAAAATAAAACCCGCAACCTCTTCGACCGCCTTTTTAATCCGCCGGCCGTTAGGCAGCCACTCGACACGTCCGGAAACCCCGATTCACCATCTCGAGCACGCGCTCCGAATCGTAAGATATCGGTCCCATTGTCACTCGCGTTATCCGCCAAAAACAGTCAGTATACACCTCCGTGAATAATTCACCAGACGTTCCATTCAATTATTAAAACTTGTTCGCAAAGAGAAGTTACAATTGCATATAGTTGATCAATACGAATTATAACTTGTTAGAAGTGACTTCTAGACTGAAATTGAAATTATAAAAGGATGTTCCAATTCCTCTTCACACCACAATTTTTATTCACTGGCGTATTTTTCTATAATTTGATGTTACCTTAGAATTATACAAACATAAACCAGTGAATAGAAAGTTATGCTATTTTATTATCATACTTAATTATGCGCTTGCTTCACTAAGCAGAGAAGATTGACATTATAAGCCTGAAAACTTAACCGCTAATAATTATATCTGTAATGTTCCAAATTCAGAAAAAGAAAATTTTTGCAAAAGATCTGTCTTTTGATACCATTTACATTGCAAAAATACTTTTCCTACAATCACAAATAAAGGAGATATTCAGATGGCTATACTTAATTGAATCACCCTGTATAAGAATAGGTTTAAAACTCTTGCTTGTGGAATAACTTTCGTTAAGGTGAAACTGTTATTAAATGAAATCGATATCGAGGTGCGATTCGAATAAAGGAGGAGACGAAAGTTGCGCAGGATGTTGAAATGGAAAATGCGACGAAAACGCCAACGCGTGCCAGTCATGATAATTAAACTAACATTTCCGTTGTACCAAGAAAAGGTCTTACCCTGGCCGAAAGGTCAGCCACGATCGCGTACGGGAAACCATCGTATCGTATCGGTTACCACGAACTACCATAACCGCCCAAAGTTAATATTAACTCGCTCCATTCCCTTGCCTATTATTCTTGTTTGTTCTGATTCTAATTAAAAGTAAATACAGCGCCTGTTTAAATTTGTTTGTCAAACGTAGTTAATGAAATAAGTTTAAATAACCTAGGTATCATTTAATTATCCTAATATCGTTTTACAAAACAGTATACATGTGGTAATATTGATTTAGAATTTCGCAGAACTGAAAAGTTCCCGCGGATGATCTGTCCATAAAAGTAAACACAGCCTTGTTTCTTGTTTGTCAAACGTTACTTAATGAAACAAACTTTGAATAATCTAGGTATGATTTAATTAACGATTTAATTATTCTAATTCATATGATTCATATCATTATGATTTTTTAACAGCATAGTGATATTGATTCCGTATTTCACAGAATGATAAGCTCACGCGAATCATGTATCTAGATGGAGAATATTTATTATCATCTATGCGCTCTGTGCACAGTGCGTTTATAAGCCGTTCTCAGAAACCCCGTGGCATGAACTCTGACCTTTCGCATTTCCCACCGCCCTCGGTGGTTCCATGGAAAAATTGCAGCACCCTAGGAAAGAATGGAAGCTCCTATGAATGGCTTTCTGAAAAATACCGTGATGCATTTTTCCACGCAATTCTTCGCATTTTTCTTTTCCACTTAATGGAACATTTTCAATAGTCCGGCGGATACGTGGGAAAATTTTAATAATTCACTCCGCCAGCTGATAGTGATAATAACTCTCTCTCTCTCTCTCTCTCTCTCTCTCTCTCTCTCTCTCTCTTTCTCTCTGTCTGTTTCCTTCGTTAACGTGATTTTCACTGGAAAATGAAATTGAACGGGCGAGTAGGTCGCCACCTGATTTTTCCTTGAGCAAGGACGTGAACTTAATACGGAGTGACGACAGCGTCACTAGGAAGCGGAATAAAACGTATCGGATTAGTTAGCCGTATTCAAGATCCCCGACAGTGGACTCTCATGCAAATCTCGAAACGTGAAAATCCGTCTAGACGCTTTTTAGATTTCCACTCGCTAATCTTCAGTCGCGTGCATACTCTTTCATCCCTATTTGCCATTCAATTTCCCAAGGGTTTAAAACGCGGTTCAAACTCGCAATTCTTCTGAAGTATTCCTCTATCTAGTGTAAAACTTCATTTTCTCTTTTCGATTGCGTTTACTTAGACAATTCGTACTTACTGAGTCGTATCATAGAACATGTATGTATCTTCTTGTTTTTAGAAAATTGAATTCGTTTATTCTTCCTTCTGTTTTTTTTTTACTCCCTCTCAATACTTGTTCTATTATCATTTTATACATGCGTCATTTACATTTCAATATATTTTTCCATCACCAATTCCTTAAGTTCCATAGTTATGATATGGCTCGATGGCTTTTAAAAAGATAGAAGATAGAAGTATGATTTTTATAATAATTGTTGTCTTTTCCAGGGCCACCGAGGGCGGTCTAGCACCGGATGCAGCTGCGGGCGCAGGTGCCGGTACCGATGGGATCGTCGGAGGTCCCAGGACGCCTCAGCAGATCGCCTCGCAGAAACGACTGCAGGCGACGCAGGCGCAGGTCGACGAGGTCGTCGACATCATGAAAACGAACGTCGAGAAGGTGCTCGAGCGTGATCAGAAGCTCTCCGAGCTCGACGATCGAGCAGGTGTGATTTTGAATTGAAAATGCCTGTAAAACCACTAGTTTGCCTGTAGAACCACTATCTGCCTGTAGAAGCACTATTCTCGTTGTAGAAGATTTTATGTAGCCTTGTAGAGACTCTTTTCTTGATATGTATTGACAGTGAATATAAATTTTCTTCTCTCTTTAATGTTAGCTCATTAACCCTCGATTGATTGATACCAAGTCATTTATTTCTCAATCTGTTTCATGATACAGTCTTAACGTATAACAAGTAGTATGTATAGAAATAGATATTTTATGTAGTCTTAATCATGAAGATTCAGAAAAAGTTTTGATTTTCTTTCTCTGCTCTCGTTAATACCCAGTAAATTATTTCTCAATCCATTACATGATATAACCATCGCTTAGATGTTAAGAAGTAGCACAGGAATAGATACCCGAATTTGGTGTAGTCTTTACTATAAGAGTTCAACCCATTTCATGACGAACTAATTTAAGATATTTTCATTTTCAACAGAAAGTAGTACAAGAATATATATCCCAGCCCTTTTAGATAGCTCCCACCCCTTAGTTCTTTGCCTATTGTTAAAAAGTTTTGACATTCTATCTTGAAATTCAATGGGAGAAGCTCTGTACTGGTTGATACTAAGTCTACAATTTCTCAAATTATTTCATGGTGCAACTTATTTTTCCATGTCTTGCAATTAGTTTCCAATAAAAAGTAGTACAGGAATATAAATGCCTTGCCTCTTTTATGTAGCTCCCATACTTTAGCATCTCTTTTGCCTGTTGTTAAAAAGTTTTAATCTTTTATCTTGATATGAGTGGTATAAAGCTGCACTGATACCATGTCTTTTAGAGTTAGTCCATAGGGTAAATTTGAAGCAAGTTCGAGGTGCCATTCCCATTATTACTTCCTCTTTATAAAATTTTCCTCGTTCAAACTAGACTCGAAGAGACCTTGAACAGACTTTTTAACGGTCTCGACGGAACTATAGAAAGTGCTATTAAATAATGTAGCGAGAGGCGAGAGAGGGCTCGAGGGGAGGGGGACAGGATGCGGTGGCATGAAATTTAAAAGCGCAAACGCTGCGTGGCAACAAAAGCCAGAAAAGGGAACAATGAGAGTACACGTGATATCTTCCTGCATGTATTCTCGCGGTTTGCACCTATCTAGCCACTGTACATACATATGTATATACATCCTGCATCGTTATGATGCGCGACGAGAGTTTTCATAGCGAAAGAATCGTCGACAAGGGGAGACGGGCGAAAAGTGGAAATTCACGTGGCGGCGATTAGCGGCGGACAAAGCGGTCGGATTGGAACGAAGGACGAGTCTGTTCGCGTACCAAGAATGGTTCTCTCCATTCATTCTCGCGTCCTGCATTAATAATACACAGCTCAGAGAATATTGTCTGTTTTTAGTACGCGACTTGTTTTCATATTTTATTTCCTGATATAATTTACGAAATAATTAACCTAACTCGCAATACCTTTCATTGATTATTCATTTATTGCTTCTTATTATTCTTTACTTTTTTTTAGGAAATTTATTTCATTGCCTTATCATGCTATTTCGATGAATAAATATTGTCGTCTTTTAATGAGAAATTCGTTTCATAAATTCTAATAGAATATTTGACTTCCTGACAATTTGTGAAACAATGACCCTAACTTACAATGCTGGAATTTTTTAATTATTTCGTTGCCTATTCATTTGTTCTATTTGAAATATGCAGGGTTTGCACTTCGCTTTTCTAGGAAATTCATTTCATTGTTTTATTCATAATGCACTATTTCGGGGAAGATGTATTACCGCGTTCTAATGAACAACTGGCTTGATAAAATCCTAAACTATACTATACTTCATTGAAATACTTTACAAAGTAATGAGCCTAACTCAGTTCTGAAATATCTTCATTGCCTATTCATTCATTACGCTCGAAATGTGCAGGCTTTGTACTTTGCTTCTTGGGAAAAACTTATTTCACAGCCTTATTCATGCCACAATATTTCGATGAAAAAGTGTTGCCACATTTTAATGAAGACGTTTCGTATATTAATAATATCAGTCATCATATTATACCAATATTTTACTTCCTATTATAATTCATCAAATAATAAACCTAACTCACAATGCTGGAACTTTTTAATAACTTCACTGGCTATTCATTTGTTATAATCTGGAATGTGCAAGCTTTGTACTTCGCTTTTTTATAAAATGTATTTCGCTGCTTCATTCATGCTACGCTATGTCGTTGAACAAAAGACTTTTGAGGTTTCAAATAACTAATAATCCTGTGATGTTCTAACAATATTTTATTTGGTGTTGCAATTCATCTGAGTTTTAAGTAGAATATTGAACCCAATTCACAATACTGATGAATTTTTTATTATATCAACTGTCTATTCAGTTTTGCATTTAGAATTAATAAATTTATTTATCCGTACTTTTTGAGAATTTTTATATAAACCTTTAAATTCAATTTTGATTTCCTTAATCATATTACAGTGAATGAATATAATGTAGTATAGATTTTTTATTTGGTAAACCGATGATGAGTATCCTAGTAGTTCGACCCTGCGCGTCTGACTATACGCTGATATCGATTACTGTGACGTTCTAGAATCGGGCTAACTGTCGTCGATCTTTTCCGCTTACAGTTTGATCGTCGCCGCAATTTTTCATTGTCCCTCATTAATATTGGAAATATTAACCCATGATAAAGCGTTTCTCTCTAACAAGTAGAATCTATGTCGAAAGTTACATTTGATATTTGAATTTATTGAAATAAATTTTAATCTTAAACTTTAAAATTGTTGAAAATGTTAATTCCTGGAAGAACGTTTTTGTCATAATCGAAAACTGTATCCAGAGTAATATTAAATATCTGAATTTATTGGAATAAATACTCATAGAAATTCTATTTTAAGTTTTTAAATTATTGAGAATATTAACTCATAAGAATGTTTAATAAAGTACGTTTTTGTCGTACTTCAAAATTGTATCCAGAGTATTATTAAATATCTGATGTTATTGAAGTAAATACTGATGAAATTTTCATCTTAAGCTTCACACTTATTAAAAATATTAATTCATGCCAGAACATTTTTTCATAATTAAAAATTGTTTCAACAGTAATATTTAATATCTGAATGTATTGAACTAAATTATAATCTTAAGATTTAAAATTGTTGAAAATATTGATTGAGATCAGAACGTTTTTTTCAAAGGCATTATTTATCAATCGAACACAATTTAATATCTGTATTACTTATAATTTTCATTCTAAGCTTTGAAATAGTAAAACGTGAATTCAGAACGTAATTTTGTGTAACATGAGGCAGATCAAGGATAAAAATATAATTTATAATTATCTAGAAATTCTACGTGGAACGCGGAATGAATATTTTTATGACTCCTAATCTTTTGATCCTCTGCTAAGGATATCAGTTATCTTTAGAAAACGACCCACGCCTCCGCGAAAGGGCATACGATCCAATCCCGTGGGATGTGAGAACTTGTTAGCAAAGTGATTTATGCTATCAACGCATATCTTCACCAATTGTCTCTTTCATTCTATTCATAGTACCTCATTCAAATTCATATCATACATAATTATAATCCTAGAGAATGGACGAATACTCTAATCATTGTCTCAAATATTAAAACTAGACTGAGGATATTTTTGCAATTATACAAAATTTGCATGTAAGAAACTGTACTTATTGTATGTAATCATTAAATGTACATAAAACAATTAATGTAGTAGCACGCTATATGTATGTATGTTTATTAACCATCCTTTCCTTATTAGGCTTAAGAATATAAACAGCCTCTTCCTTACAGTCAAGCTTACAAACTATAATCTTTTAATGTATTAGTAGTAATACGTATATTTATTGTTCCTTCCAGGTATTTATTATTCTTATCCAATCGTCTACATTTGCACTTGCTTCTTATTAAACTTGTATGAGCCTTTAAGATCGTATGAATCCTTACATAAGAATAATGACAAAGTATAGAAATTTTAACAGTTATTGGATATTACATTAATAGAACGTTGTACAAAATTTTAGGAATTTTGCGAACCCTCTAACAAAGTTATTATATCTTGAATTCTCATGTCGAATGACAGGATTTTGTAATTTGGTATAATTCTTAACACATGATTGAAGAATATTTTGAAATTGAAAAAATATCAAGTTCCAGAACATTATTTAAGATCTGCAGTAAAAAACAAGCAAACGTAAGAATTATAAGACTTGAAGACAGTTGCAAGTCAGATTAAAAAGTGTCAAAAACAATATATTGGAATATTAAAACTAATATGATAAAAATTCTCTGTGACCTAAAAAGACACGTCGAACAATTTTATAAACTCTCCTTCTCTGTGAATATCATTTTTCCTAAAAGTATTTATTACTTCAGATATTGGACATAGCTTTTTATCACGTTTCATAAACTTCTGGCTGAGATCTTATAGCTCAGATTACCTTAACTACTTCGCCTTACTACTTTACTACCTCTTTTCTATTGCCTCTTTCTCTTAAACTTAACGCCTATTTATCTATTCTTCTCGCTTTCACTGCCTGTCTTCGCTCGTATTTTCATAAAATAGTTATTGTAATCTCACATTATGAAATGATATCAGTGAAAATCCTGTATAAATGAATTATCTTCGTTGAAATGTTTTTCAAAAACTATGATTTTGCACAACAATTTACAGTCTAATTATGACATAGTAAATCATTTCTATTATAAACTATTTATGCTTAAATAATATTCATTTCTTTCGTCATTTAAATTACAAATATCCTAAATTATATAAAGTAAACTGATAATTTTCATGAAGAAATGAAATGTTCCTTGCAGACGCGCTTCAGCAAGGAGCGTCACAGTTTGAACAGCAAGCAGGAAAACTGAAGAGGAAGTTCTGGTTACAAAATTTGAAGGTAAGCTATTAGCACTTATTTATTTTAGTTTACAATGTCACGATTAATTGTTCACGTTTCGTTCCTCCGTTTCCAGATGATGATAATCATGGGCGTAATCGGACTAATCGTATTGGCCATCATTGTTGGTAAGTAATCAATCTTTTAAACGCACTCAATAAAGCTAACGACACTGCCAATTGTAACTGTTTAAGTGTTCTGTGTGATACGATCGATGTACCATCACGACTTTCAACGACCAATTCGGTATTCAAGTTACACATGTATCTGTCATTATGTAGAATTATACGTACAGGGTGGTCCTCCTAAATATCCAAGAAGCCTTGCAGCCTTGCAGTTGAAACTTAATCGCTAATAACTGTATTCGATGATGTTCAAAATCCAGAAAAATCTCTTGCAAAACGTTCATCTTTTGATTTCATTTACATCACATAAAAAATATTTTTTTCGAGTTTTTTAGGTGAACTCATTAGGTGGACCTCCTTGTATAATTGAATTAGGTTTAACTATTAAAATTTGTTTAAATCAAGACATCAGAAATGAACATAAAACTCATTTTAATAATTATAATATTATCAATATTTAATGAGTCCGTTTATTTTTAAATAAATGAATGAATTCGCTGTTTCACTGCAAATTGTTGAAAGATACTAGAACCGAATTAGTTGTTGATGGCTACTGTTTCTGTCGATCTATATTTCCGTGCTGGGGGGATAGGTCTCGAGTAACGAAATCAAAATGTGTTTTGCACGAGGCAAATGGGACACGTGTGTCGTCCCCCCGACTGAAGAGTGTCTAATAATACGTATAGGCTTGCACGGTTGTTCGAAGAATTGATTTTCAACGAGATTCCCGTCAGGAGTCTCTCGGCCTGGCCCACAAAATTCGTTACCGTGCTTCGCTTAAACTAAATTTTCCCATTAGAGACTGGAGAGAACTGCTATGGCGATGTCAGACAAAATAATCAAATCAATTTCTACTTAAAATAATTTCTTTTTATACATTTTTTTATTTAGACGTTAAATGTCAAGGGAATGGGTAAAAGTAACGAAAATGTCGATGGATAAGTGTCTGTCAGATTGATTGAACGAAATGTAACGGAAAAATGAAAAGATATTTGGATTGATGGTTTCCCGATGTTTAATAGCTATTTCGATTGAATATAGTGATAAATATGAATTATTTAATATCTCTCCATGAAAAGAGAAGTACATATGTATATACATGAGGATTTGAAAAAATATTCACAAATAAAATATACAGTGCAGATGGAGAAAGAGTGTTGCACAAGCTTTTCCATGAAAAGAGAAATGTGTATATACATATTCGAAAAATATTGATAGATGAAATATAGAGTGCAGATAGAAAAGAATTTTGTACAAATCTCTCCATGAAAAGAATACAAACTACATTTACAGTATCAACCTAAAAAATGTGCTATTGATAAAAAATTGATTTAGTATTCAATACCTTGAGAATATTCAACTCAAATATCTAATTTGGTCCAACTAATATCTATTGGTAAATATATAAACAGTTTCCATCGGTAAATAGATACTAAAAATAATAAATAGTGTCTATTGATGAATAGATACTATTTCTTTTACTTGATATTTTTGTAAAATAATAAATAGTATTTATTCACCAATAGAGAAAATTAAATAATATCAATTTACCAATAGATATTTACTATTTGACAAAAACATAAAGCCGAACATCTGATTTGGTCCAGTCATTCTAATAGACACAAGAATAAATGTGCTATTAAGGTGTCGCTAATCTCTCACACTGTCCACCGTATTTAACGTGCGATTTCTATGTGTTTCTCTTTTTTTTCGTCTAGCGAACTTCATGTAGACGTGCTGGTTGGTGGAAGAGATTTGTGTGTGAGTGAGTCTGAAGGTAGAGAAAGCAAAAGTCAAAACTCTGCGACTCTATCGCGTTTATATATTATACGTATATATTAACTGTTGTCTCTATCTATCTGTTTCTGTCTATTTCTATACTATGTTCCCCCTATTTTTCTGTCTCCTTATATGTTTAAAACCACGTAGGACGTGTGTACAACGTTGTACTTTTATTATACGGACACGTTGTCTGTCTCCGTTTCTCGCTGCTCCATGTACTACATACATACATTAAACCTGAGATCCGTGCCCTGAAACCCGAAATTCACGCTTCAACTCGGTGTTTACATATGTATACATATATTTTCTGCCTGTGATAGGTATATATACGTATAATTGCTGATGTATCACTATCTGTATTCATCCCCCACCGTCGAGCTCTCTCGTTGGATATTCATGAACCACCGATTTTCATTCACGATCAGTTCAGTTCCAATTAATACGCTGAAACCCCGGTATTGCTCCATTTATATAAGAATTTAAAAGGGCAACCTTCTATCGATGTTTGCTGGTTTTTCGACTAATTAATAGTAAAAGAAGTGTTTCATGAATCGGCGAGGAACGCAACGTTTTAATTAGAATGTTATATAACGACAAGCAAATAAAATTGTACATTTCATATCGATTAGATCTTTGTCGCTATACGACGTTTGATTAAAGCACAGCGTAAATGTTATTTGTCCCTAAGCAACACCTACTACAGAAACAAGAATAAAAGCTCGAATTTGGACAAAAATAATTCAGCTTCGATCCGTTTCGATGATAGCGTGAGCAAAATTCGATAAATAAAAACGAAGAGGAAGAAAACGGGATTTGATGGAATTAACGATAAGCACACAACAACAGCCACTCACCCCATGACCCGTGCCTCTCGTAATTACTGTTATGTGTCTGTCTGTACTTTTTGGTGGTTACTACCCTGCCCCACCCAAACCAACCCCCTTCGCCCTGTTCGTCTTCCGAAGTTAGTCCCAGCCAGTGGTTTTCAATTTTTTGGTGGTCGAGCATAAAGTGGTATTGATTAGAAAAATCGTGCGACGAAACGCGGCGAGAATAGAAACCACCGAGAAATGAAAACACGAATGGACAACACAACAACGACAGATTAACAACATTAGAACAACAGTTTTCGTTAACTGATACTACGAACAGCAACAGTAAGAACAACAACAACAACAACAACAACATGATCATCAAAAAACAGTAACAACGGTATATACGTACATGTATATATCGTAAAGAGGTTTAGAGAATTTTGTTTCACCCGCCCGCTCTTCTCTACGGGTACGGTAAGCTACGATTCTTATTGCTGCACTTTATCGATAACGATTATCTTAATCATTTTTCCTACTCTTGTTTCTACTACGGTTTACGTCGACGGACACTGGCTCACATCTCGACACTTACTTTAATAATAATCATCTTCATACGCGCGGATTTCATTAGACATACAGGATTATTGAGACTACAGTGGTACCTCGGTGTACGACCGTAATCCGTTCTTGATGTTTGGACTTATACCAAACCAACTTTTCTTATAAGAAGTAATATAAAAATGATTAATCCGGTCTCNGCGAAGAATTTTTATACAGAAATTGTAGATCTCGTCGACCCTACAAAATGGTCCTATACATGCCCCCCCTACGTCCATCCGTTCGGGAGTTATTGACAAAAAACGAAATTTTCTTCCAAAAATTCGCCGTTTCGACGCTGGGATGGTCGGATTTTGTCAATATCAATAAAATGCCAAATAATCATACGTAACTCGTTAAATATCAAAGTTAGAAGGATAACAACTTTTATTTCAAGCATTTTTCGAAATTTTGAAAAAAAAAATTTTTCGTCAGTGTCAATACTTAATTGGATATTTCCTTCTATACTTTTTAGCACGTAGCTATTTATTATTAGCATTGTTCTTCCGACGTCTGATTTCTCTTTAATTATAGGAAATGCGTTTTTCTAAGGTATATAAACTTTTGGGATTGACTGTATAGCCAATACATCCTCAAAATCCAAGAAGAACAGGAACGTTCATTGTTAATAGAATGGGATTCTGATATATTCATACAACAGAACTTCCGTTATATGAACGCCCATTATATGAATATTCTCTTGTATGAACTTTCAGTTATGTAAAAAAATTTGGAATGAAAAAATTCGGAAACGAAAAGGTTTTGTAATTGCATTGTTACTATAATTCGATACAGATTTTTATTTTGTGTTCAATGCATAATACACCTTTCTCTTTCTACATTCGAGGCTTTCGACAAAATATAACGTCAACGTCAACGCCTCGAAAATTTCACATTTATCGAAAGAAATCTATGAAGAAGTTATGTTCGTTTTATTTCATTTTTCTTCTAGTGCTACATTCTTTTAAATAGTTCTATTATATAAAAAGTCTCTTATACGAACACATCTGTTCCCCAATTAGTTCATATAATGGAGGTTCTACTGTATCATACGTATCTTGTGATTATCAAAATAAACATAAGTCGTGCAAAAGTTTGGATTCCTAAAAGAATCTCATTCATTTTTCTGTCCACAAAACTCGAACACCGTTTCAGAATATACAATTACATTAACGAACAGAACGGGGCATCTAAACAAGAAGACATCATCAAACGAATAAAATTCATGAACATTTTTCATAAGTTTAAATGCCTTGCTCTGTATAACGCATATATATACATATATATGTATCAACCGGATATATTTTTCAATTCATATAAAACAAAATATTTCTGGGACGATCTTCATATGTCGATGCATGTTTACGATGCTTCTATGCGATTATGGAGCATGCTTTCATGTTTCAAAACTACAGTGCTGTTCATTTGAACAGTCCATAACAGTCCAGGAAACTCTGTGTAATACGAATAAAATAAGAGATATGTAAACGTACAGTATATAGCGTAATGTGTTTCAAATAGCTTTGGTCCTTTAAATATTGCAATGTGCACTTTGCGTTTGGTATTTTGTACAGTTTTATGTAATACTTATAGTATTTGTACTTTTTGTACATTCAATTCCCTCGTCAATGCATAAAATCAGTTTATTCATAAATATTTCTTCTCTGAGCTATCTTTATGCAAAATGTCAATTAATTGTGGCATTAAATGCTTGAGGCTATTCATTTGAAAACTGGTACCTAACTAATAAATCAATTAAATACAAATCCTCTCTTTGACATTATCAATTTTTACTAGAGGCTATTCAAG